GTTGTTGTCGTACGCGCTTTGCCGGCAGCGCACAACGTCTGCGTAGAATTTTGTCCGCATTCCGTACGCAACGTATGAACTCGCTGCACATCTCCAGCGTGTGACAGCAGTCGAGACAGATGTGTTGGGGCAGTTCAATGTCCGCAAGCGAAGCGCCAATGCGCGCACACGCGTTCAAACAATCGAGCAGGGTGGTGGTGCTGCTGCCACTGCCACTGCCACTGCCACTGTCGACGCTACCACCACAGCTGTTGGCCATCATTGTTGTTGGCGTGCCATTGAGTTTGTTGCCTTTGGTCGATAGCGTTCTGGTAGCCTTGTATGAATCATTGCCGGCTGTCGTTGAAGTTGTAAACTTATCATCGCGCAAATCCACCATGGCCAAGGTGTCCAGTGGCACAAACTCCAAAAGGGGAGTCTCCTCATCGGAGCATGAGTCCGGCGGTGACTGGCGCGTGGTGGGCTGCTGCTGCTGCTGCTGCTCCGACAGGCAACAGCGGCACATTATGCGAAGTGGCCGCACCCGTTGATGTGGCTGCGGCGGCGGCGGCTGTTGCGACGCCACTGCTCCTCCACCGCCTGCTACCGGTAATCGCTCACTGCCAGCTCTGCTGTATACCAACTTTGGTGCTACTATTGCCGTCACTCTATATAACTTTTCACTGCCGCCTGCAGCGCTGTAATCACTGTAATTTCCGCTAGTGCTGCCACCACTGCTCGTACTGCCATTGCTGCTTACACTGTAACTCCTACTGCCGCCCATTGCTGCATTTTTTCACTGTGTAAATCTATTCTATTTTTCACCTGCGAATGGGCGTGTTTAGCGTATTTTTGGCGTCCCGGCGTTTTTCTTTTTGTTTATAAACAAAAAATGTTAATTAGCACAACTCACGGCGTACAACCAAGCATTGCCTGCCGCTTCGGTAGATTCGCGTCGTTCCCACTGCGTTTTCACCAAATTCGAGTACGTACACGCCAATGAGCAAATCTCTACTGCTGCAATACGAGTGTAAAAAGCCAGCAAGTTGGCAAGCGATGACTATGACGACGACGAAGGCGATGGCGATGGCGAAGGCGACCTTGCTGCGCGCATATCGACCAGCCTTCGAATAATTTTGATCTTTTAGAAATCCCAAATTCGGAAGCGATCAAAATTGTCACTAAGTTTTTAAAACTTATAATATTTGTTCATTTACTCGAACCTCAGTGCAGCATTGAACCTGACCGGATATATCAAATTTTTAGTTGGTGCCTTGAGCATTGTGGTTTAGTATTAGTTCTTACAGGCCTCTGTAGCTTTGACAAAAGTTGCCTTGTGAAAAACTTATTCCACCACACATATGTACATTTATAACAGATGGTGTCCACTAAATTTTCTTCGATCTTTGACTAAAACTTTATGCCATTTAGCAACTAGATTCCACGGTACATCTCAAATCATAAAGGTTTCAACTCATTTTCAATATATTAGCTCAACTAATCACGTAGGCTATTTAAGATTCCCTGTTGATAGCTTAGTTACCATTTCTTTAAACATTTGCCTAATCATTCCAATCAACTCTTTTCTGTCGAGAGTTACTTCTTCACTTGCTTCTGCAACACTCCAAATTCACTTGAGTGTATGCTCAATCATCAAAATGATGCCCGGTCCAGTTATTTTCAAACCAAACCAAATTTGGTAAGTATCTACATAGATTCTTGTTAACAAATCTAACTGGACGCGCTGGACTTGTAAATCTGTGTGCAAAATATAGCCAATTAACTCGTCCAACTAACAGTCTATTAGCAACATTCTGATCGTAGAGTTCATTATACTCGACTATGACCGAATTTGGTTATACTTGTAAGTATCTGAATTCTCTGGGTTATACTCTCATTCGTATAGGTACGTGTTTTAATTGTGAGCTCCAAGAGCAAAAACGGATACGTCATACACGAACGGCGAGAGCGCGCACACAAATGCACAAGGCATGCACACAGATACTACGTACACATACCCTGTAGGAAAATCCCCCAGTCAATTGACTGGTTCACCATAATTCTACGTACATATTTTCAACAACTGCTGGAATGCAACTGGTGATTTTGGCATTGCAGTATTTCAGGGGCGAAGTAGTTTGAGCTGCTTTACTTGTTCGACAAATGGTAACTAGTTAGATTTCGAATTGCCGAATACGCACTATGTAGTTCATAAACCAGATATTGGTGTCAGCTCAATTAGTTCACGTTCTATTATTTTTAAAATGTCGTTGTCCTACGAGACGTTAATTGTCTAGCTATGTATCAGCACCTACCAGTAGAAATACTAATTTCATAGCAGTTTCCCCGATTCATCCCGCTTGAAAGGAGTCAGTAAGACATTTTGGTTGCAACGCTCCAACAGTTGCAGAGCAAAGCACTAGCGTGCCATTTCTGAGGTCCGAAGTTCAAGTCCTCGGCAGGGAATTTTTCCCTTTTAAACCAACTTCCAAAAAAGGAGGTTATCAGTTCGACGGAAAACTTTTTTTTTTATGTATGTTACCACATCATTTTGGACCACGTCAACCGACTTCGAAATTTCTTTTTGCATCGCAAAGATGGTGTCTCAGTGGTGGTCCCATACTAATCTGGTTTAGACCCGGTCATTGGATCTTGAGATATATGTATATATTAAGTTTCCTTTTTTAAAGTATAGTTTAATCATTAGTTTAACTTAACTACAGAAAAATCCATAATATCTAATAAATTTTAAGTTGTTTATTGTCATTTTAAAGTTTTATTTTTTTTTTAAGAAATATTTAAGTTTTGACCGGTCGATTTCTCAGTGGATTATCAAGTCGACGGAAATAGACCCGTATAAAGGCAGCTTAACATACGACAATATTTTATCCAGGCGACGATAGGATGTAAGTATGTATGTACATACATATGTACGTTTTTTCTCAAACGAAACTAGTTTGTATTTAATATTTAAATTGAAATAATTATAGTAACTTACATTGAAATAATTAGAAAAATCCTAACCACCTCCAAGCGGATTCGAACCTGCATTACCAGAACCAGGACCGGTAGTTTTCACGCGACGCCGCAGCCGTCGTTATTTTTTACTTTGACAATTCAAAGGCAGATATCGTATGAATTGTCGAAATGGTCGCACTGTTGGTAGGCCATCGCTTCAGCCAGTTAATGAACTGGTATTTTTACTCACTGGTTTGGCTTTTCACGGCAGGGGTATTTCCACATTTCATGCACAAATACATACATGTCCAAAGTGGTTGATAGAAGCTCTCAAAAATAAGTCGCTAAAACAACTTGCACATACTACTTATGCCGGCTTATTGAATGGAGTTACCAAAAAAAAATTTAACACATCAATGGGGTAAACAGAAATATGTGCAGAAAGTAAAAAAGACATAAAATAAAATTAAAATAAAATAAGAAAAAAAGAATTAAAAAAAAAATATACCCATCGCTCTTTTCAATGCAAAGGGACTATTTTCGATTTTATTTTATAATAATTTTTTTATAAAACACCGGCCCACAAAAAAAGTGGTGTGTGCTTTTTACCAGACCCAACTACCAACATATATTTGAATTGCAAAAATTATGAAAAAATGGCAAAAAAAAAGGTCCCAATTTACTCGAAATTTTGAGGGTATACGAGTCAAAGGAACCTCTGATTCGGATTCAGTTGGTCGAAATACATGTCGGTAGGTAGTACTTTTTTTGTGTACTTGTGTAATATAACAATACTTTGGCGCTTTTTTTGGCTGCATTTTTGTCGGAGCTTCTCCTCTAACTGGTGGTGTACATCCTAATGTTGTATCAAGAGTGCAGTCACTTACAGACATCCTCCATCGAGGTTTGCGATGTCCACTTCATGTGCCACGGCAAGTAGCCCAAATTCTATCGTTCTTACTGGCTATTAACAAACTTCACTCTGCAATCCACTTTAAAGTGAGGTTCGAGATTGGATGACATAAAGACGGAATGAATACTTCTGGGCCTTGTTGAATGGTACCCGCAGCGAAGACTATGGTGGTGATGATGACGGAATCGATGCTTCATTATCCGACCATGAACTAATAGTAATACCTGGGTTCTTGATAGCTGCTATCGGCGGCGGTATAACAGCGCCAACTATAGCGGAATCAAGAGGATTTTGTGAAAGGCAAAATAAAGCCCACCGTAAACGGATGTCTTAAGTTTGGTACACCGGCGAAGGTAATGCGGCTGAATGAAATAGTGTTGAGCAATGCCATGATTTGGAAGGAACTCTCCGAACCGTGTGATACTAAAGTATGTTTTGAGACAAGATAAATATCGACTATTCACTCTTCAAATTCACCAATGGGATTAGGCTAGAACTGAACGTAAGAAAGATTCTGCATATTTTATTTTGCGCACGTTGCGGACGTAAGCACGGAAGGCGATGGTATAATGAACTTTACAGCGATATAGACGTACATACATACATATGTATGTAGGTCAGCGGCTACGTTGCTTAGGCCATGCCGTAAGACTGGTGGCGAATGAAATGCGTTAACTGCTGGCGGTCGTATGGAGAGAAGACCTCCGCTGATTTAGAAAAAATCTATTTCGGGAAATAACTCAATTTTTCTAGCGGTAGAAAGGGTCGGAGTAGCAGCTTGGCTGTAATGTATGTATGAGCTATGTAATAATTACCGCATTATTGTAACCTCGTTACTTTCTTGATGCTCAACTAAAAATCTTCTAAAATGCTGAAGAAATTACAGAGTTATTTTACACTAGGTGGGTTTAATAATAAAAACATGTATGCTCTAATTTCTTTTAAAATTTTATTTCATTTCACACATTTTTGATTTGTTGTGTATAAGAATTGCTTTACGATTAACAGTTTGGAGTACCTACATACATATTTTTGTAGTATACTTTAATTTAAAGTTAAGTGAATTTTTAATTTGAATGCTTAATTTGGGTAAATAAGAGTTCTATTTTTGTATACAAATGCACATATCGATGGTCCTCTGCATTTTTTTTTTTTAACTGTGTCATTATTGCAGACGAGCATCAATATGCAGTTGAAAGCAAACAGTTGGATCAAAGTGCTTTGAGACACTATATGTAGCTATGACGTAGAACCGAAAAACTATAAATTTGAAAATTAGCAATTAAAAAGAAAGCCTTAATAGCTACGCTTAATTCTTGATTGAACCGTACAAAAAGTTTATTTTTTTTAATTGGCGAAACGCACTAGAATGATGCATATATATATTTTTTTTTTTTTTTTAAATACAAGTTTTTAGTTTTTTAACTGCGCTCATATAACTTGCATTTCAAGTGCGTGCACTTAAATAAATTCCTTATTAGCTAATTTGTAAGTTAAAATCTTTAATTATGGTACATTTCCCTTCTAATTTCATTTCTGTTTTTAAATATTAAATAGGCTTGTTTAAGAGAAAGGCTAGGATATACGCCGCGTAACATTATTTAAAAGAAAAAAATTGGGCATCCTCGAGTTAATTTAAAACATGGTAAGCCATTAATTAATTACATGTAAATCATATTTCTTAAATAAAAACCCGTTTTCAATAGTTTCATAATATATTTTCTTTTGGCTATTTATGCATAATGAACGAGTCTTCTAACGATGCCACTGCCGTCATACAATTTTTTCAACTTTCAAAGGGCTCTTTCAACAAAATAGTGAGTTTAATCAGCAAATGAATCAACTAAATAGATAATTTAAAGAGCCAATGTCATGCAGTATCTAATCGCTCTGTGGTAGGCGATTTTCGTGAGGGTTAAGTGCAGTATTTTGTTTGCTATCAAGAGCATCAAAAAATTAGTAGGGGCAAACTAAAGGCATTTTCAGCAATATTTATTTAAAAAAGAAGAACTCTTTAAGATAAGTGAACTTGACAGCAGAACTACTACTACTTTAACGGCGTACTATGTACATATCAACACCATCAGTGCCAAAAGCTTTTTAAATTAACATAAAAAATGCTGATATGTATGGCTGATCTAAGAATGCCAACGAATCTCGTAGTTGAAAAAAAGTAGCAAAATATGAATGTAAAAAACGCATTTCCGAAAAAGTGTCAAATAGGGTATTTTGCATTAAGGACGATAAAATAAGAAAAGCAATAAATCCTTAAAGTTCTGCTGTATGTGCTGTATATTTTGGAAAAACAAAAGCATTCGAATTTCTTCAAATGAAAAAGTTATATGTAATACGCATTTAATAGAATTCATTTTGAACATTTAACAATTATTGCATTTTTGGTTAAAAGTGAAGGTGAAATAATTGTCGATATTATGCGTGTAAAGAAAAGTGTTGAAGACTAGCTAAAAGCAAATAAAGCAGTTAATACAATATTGTTTCGAGTATATATAGTAGCTAGCATTTATCAAACGGCATACATAAATGAGAAAACTCAAGCGATGGTGAAAAATCTAGAATTCCTGTTCCAAAACTAATTTCTTCGTTTTTCAAATTCCATAAAGGGTTACATTTGCAGTTAGCAGCTGGTACGCATGATTTTATGTGTGCAAAACTAATTTTTACCAGCTGATTGCATTTTTAATTTCAATTAGTTTCCAAGCACATGTACATCTTCATCTTCATGTTCCTTTTCTCGTTGGCGTACGGCCACTGCCGTTTCCACCAGCAGGTACAGACACTTGAATTTATCTTTATCGTCGCGTATGACGCCTACATATGAAAGAAATACATTCAACTATGCATAGGACAGCAATTTTAACAAAACATTATACACAAACCTTTCACCAAATGACTGCCAGGATGTATGACCTGTACACTAGATGAAATTTGATTATTATTGGTTGCACTCGCATTGTTATTATTGATATTGGCCGCACTTGAGGCACCCGATGTTACGACTGTAGCCTCGGCGCCAACTGTGACACCCGCTTCAGCTGTCAATTCAACAGGTGTTAACAGCGCATTAACGTTAGCAGCAGATATCACATTGTTGCCTGTTGGAAAATAATTTATAATTTAACTAAATTGTTCAGTACTGAATTAAACATATTTAGTACTCACCAATAGCACCTGTTGTCGTTGATCCCGTAACGCCTACCGCATGCGTCTGCGCTGTCGTCGTATGCGGTTGTGATGCGGTCGTCCAGTAGGTATTATTCGTTGCAGTTGGACTAGAGGTCGTTACTTCCTCGGTACTGAAAACAGTCCCGTAAAAAGAAACGTTCAGTAGACGAAATATTCGTGCGCATGCATTGCAGAGCAGAGCAAAAGTGATGGATAAGAAAATTAAAGCGTATACCACAAACATCGAGGTTATTGAGATGTTGTCGAAATGTGGATGTCGATCCGTGTGGTTTTAGATAATTGGATAAATCATATGTGTTTGTAGTAGTGGTGGTAACAACATTGGAAAATTTAGTGTCAAGACACAAGTTGTAGACCAAAAGGAATATCGAGGAAAAAAAAAATAGAAAAAATACAACGAAATATTTAAAAGAAGTATAAGTATGAAAACTAAATAAAAAGTACAGAGAAAGTAACTACACCTTTTTCATACTAAAAAATTCTAAAATAGTATATATAAGCGAAAAAACGATATTATAGGTCGCAAAATACAAAAGCAGACATTAAAAGCAGTTTCCACAGCGGAGAGTAATTATGGATTTTCAGTGCAAAACATATTAAGTTCAATGTCAGGTCTACGTAACCGGAACGATCTAGACCAAGGCCAAGGACTGTCGCTCCAGCAACACTCCCCAAAAACTCTGGGGAATTTGTATGCTGTTACAACAACAACAAAAAAAATCAGAATGCAATTGAAAGTTTTACATACATTGCCGCTGAAGTGCAAAAAAGCCGTAACTAAATTTTTTTTTAATGCATAATCAAAAAAATAGTGAATTTTGGATCTTTTGTTAGATAGGGCCTTTCTATATAAAGGTAAAGATTAATTTTCGAGAAAAGGTGTAGTTAAGATTTTTCATTGGATTCAAGTAACTTACTTCATAACACTTTGCCAAGCGTCTGAGCTTTCAAATTTGCCTTCCTCCTCACTTTGCGGCTCGCAAGAATCGTACTCGTTGACGCTGTCATCTTCAGATCTGCAAAAACCAAATACGTAATATTAACAAATAGCAAAAAAAAAAAACATGAGTTTTGTAAGCAAAACCGAATCACAACATCAAATAAACTACTGGAACGAATATATGAAACAACTGATAAAGAAAACCATACAAAAATAATATCAACCCCCACGTAATGCAAATCAACCCAACTATAAAAACAAAAGTGAATCATTAACGCACAAGTCATTGTCCCTATACCTCAACGCATTGAAATGGGAATTCTTCGTTGGCGGCATACTATTCTGAATGTGAAAAATTTGATTGAGTGTCTGTGAATAGAAATATTTGCTATTGGTGGGATAATGTGCGGCAGCAGCAGCGGCAGAATTGCTTGAAGATGGCGGATATACTGGCATACCAGCAACAGCATCACTATTCGGACTTTGGATTACGCCGGTGCTTGTACCAAATGTGGGCTGTTGCATTTGCACTGCGGCGGCGGCAGCGGCTGCTGCTGCAGCTGCTTGCCTTTGTTTAGCTGCTTGAATTTTTGCCAAAATTTTGGCTTGAATTTGTGGATGTAAATTTTGAAAGCCCTGTGGATTGGCAGCAATTGCCTGTTGCCATCTGTATACGTGGTTGTTTGGGGGATTCGATTGATTGATTGATGATTAGCGGTAAAAAATTCAACGTTATTTAATTATTAGTGGAGGAGGTTGGGTGAAGATATACTTAATGAAATGGTTCAATAAAATTAAGGTACAAAAAATAATTTACAATAGTGTAGTTATAACATTATACCTGTAAATTACACTGTCATCGTACTCTATGTCCGGTTCTACTTTAACCATATGACCGCTTGGCGTTTGAACGAAATGACCCAACGCCGTAAGCACATTTGCCACGCCATCATGCACTTCATCGCCTTCCACCTCTTCTGTGGCGCCAACGATCTTAAAAATATATAGGTATTAAAGTAAAGAAATACAAAATGATATAGATAACTAAGTCGCACCACTTCCGAAGCGGGACTGCCCGTGATAGGATTTGGAACTGATGCATTAATGCTGCTTGAGGAGTTCATCGAAGAGTTTAGCTTTTTGCCACGTCTTGAAATCGTGAAGTGCAGCGGATCATTCCCCTCGCGTCGTATCATTTCAGGAAGTATGCGACGTCGTGCGTTTATAAACCAGTTGCAAACCTTTTGCCACAAATCAAATATATTTATTTAAAATACGACAGTAATAATAAATGATTCAGTTTACTAACCTGTAGGACAGTTAAATTCGCTTCCTGCGAGAGCGTAAACTTTTCGGCATCGCTGGGATATGCATTGTAGCGGTGTTCATATAACCAACGTTTCAAAATCTTTACCGATGTTTTTGGCAAATTGCCACGTCGCTTGCGCATTGACAAGTTATCCGTATTGGCATCACTGGATTCCATTAGAATGTCTTTAAAATCTTTGACATCATGCATGTCGGACAAGTCATGTTCGGTCAAATCTTCTTCAACAATGGTTTCATGATGCTCATCCTCGTCGTCATCTTCCTCAACAACGCCCAACACTGTGACGCCATCGTGTTCAATATCTTCGTGACCATCTTCCTCCACACTCGATGTGGATTGAAAGCGATCGCGCGCTAGATAAGTGAAATATCGATAGAATCATTAGAACCAGCTGTATGGATTAGATTTTGAGTTTTGAACTACCTTAAAGTTTTCTTTAAGGAAGAAAATACATATATTTTGGGCCATTTGTTTATCGAATAAACTACAATATGGCTTTCTCCACACTTCTTTAGCTTACAATTTTTAGCGCACTTTGGGCGCAGATGACATTTTTATGTCAAATAACATAATTTGACATTTTCGGTGAGGGTGTCAAATGGCCTACACCTGACATTACTACTGTCTAATGCCAACGATGATATAGCTTATCAAGATATAGATTTTAAAGCACTTATGCGGTGCACTAAATATTATAAAAGTACAAATGTGGAGTAGGCCCTTGTGGAAATATGTATGTATGTATATTTACCTTCGTGCGCTATGATCTGCGCTTGTATCTGCGCCTCCTGTGCCATATCTTGTATATCCTGGCGTACTTGTCGGTCCAGCGCAAGATTAACTTCTTCGTGATGCAAAGTATCCGGCGAAAGCATTTTTAAAAACTATATTTGTGAATATGTATTTCTCAGTAACTAGTACAATAGATGCCGCAGTGGCATTGATGCTAACCGAATCGTGCTGCCTCAATCAAGTGTTGATAGAAGGAATAATTGAAGTCAAGTGCAAATCTGTAAAATGTGAAACAAATGAAAATGAACATCTCTTTCAAAAACTTTTTATCATTTCATTTTTGAAATAAGAATCCAATTAAATTTACTTTTCGTTCTAAAAATTAGTTGTCTTCAAGTCTGATTGTTGGAATCGGCAAGGCCTTTTATAAAGATCAAAAATTTTAGTGAAAAATTAAATGTGCCGCCAAACGTCTACTATTTGACTGATGTGTGACGATTTCAAGTGATATTGTCGTTTAAATATAATTTAGTATTTTTCTACAGTGAATTTATAACGAAGTTGCCTTTGGGCCGCAAGTCGACAGTTCCTTTGATGCATCCAATAGTTTTCCTAGATTGCTCCAGCCGTGCCTCTGTAGCATACAGTAGTTTTCCGGCTCCAGTGGCTTTTGACAAGCATTTGTATACAAAACACAAGATGTCAATTTCTCCTTTGATTTTTGATTAATTAAACTTCAAATTTTTCCGTGCAATAAACTTCAAAGAAATGAATTGGCACGCGTTTGACAGTTGTCACTCGCATGGACTGTGTGCATGACAGCGACTAAATGCGAAAGAACGAGATGGCGATACTGCTGACATACGTTCATCTCTTGTCAACAGAAGGGAGGCATGGAAAATTTCAGAACGCATTTTTTGTTCCTTTTGTCAAAATGGCGGAAACGGAAGATTGGTGGGAATGCCAAGCGACGATAATGCAATTGGAAAGAAACGTCATTGGAAAATCTTAAATAAAGAGCTTGTCAGACATGGCAACATTTGCAGCTATTCGCTGTCAAATTGTAAGAGAAATCTTATTTCCACCTATGAAGTGGTCTTTCACCTTTGGGAAATCAATTTCAGAAATTAATGTTGCAAGGTTTGACTCTCAACTTAAAGATCGGAATCGATTTCGGAAATATAGGCACCTATTATGAGCTGCACTCGATCTCCGACTGTGGTCATTTGGTATTATGACACTCATTTTTGAAGAATGGCACTATTGTGAATCATAAATTTTTCACAATTTTCTAACACTTCGCTACAGCAGCGAAAGCAAAATTCTGTTCGACAGAAAATTCGATAATCAACTAAAATTTCGACAATGTTACATAGCTCATAATACGAGTTTCACATTAAATATTCGATCTTCGATAACCAGCGTAGATCGATGATCGAATGCAACTCATAATAAGGGCCATAATTCATTCTGTGTAAGCAGCCTAACGCGCAGTCAAAAATGTTCCCTGCTATATATAAAAAATCGCTTTCGAAAGACCTTTACATCCAAGCTGTCACTGCGTAAGCAACTGTTTTCTGAATTTTGCTAATTTGGCAGCCTTTCCGAAATATATTGCATGGCTACGTCTGACAGCCTCCTAAGTACAATTGCCTAGATTTGTACATACATCTCTATATCCACCGACATACATGTGAACATATGTAAATACTGCTGCAATATTGCAACTACATACTGCAATCTAGCTATTTATAAGCACACTAGACGGTTTGATTTTGGAATGTCGCCCGCTTATTTCAGATTTGTATCCATTTATTGGAAAGCAAACAATGCCTTTTACAGCGAATATTTCTTGTATAAATAAAATAGGTCAGAGGCAAAGCACACCATATAACCTTCTGCGCAAGATGGCGGTACATTGCCAAATGTCGCAGCCTGTATTTAGAGCCGTTCAACAATTGTTCTCTTGTATCCAGATTGTTTAAAACTTTTGTATCTATAATTTACATCAAAATTAACTATTTCAATTTGCAACTGCCTAGCTGACATCAGCAATTTATTCCATACCTCAAATGTCTTGAATGTGTCAAATAGAAGCAGAAGTGACAACGAAATACCGATAATTTTCACAAAGCAGAAAAAAATGAAGTTCTGTCTTCTGTCCGTCAACTGGGTAAAAATGTCAATTTGACATTTTCAACGCACAAATTTTGTTTTTGTGTACACTCAAAACAACGAAATTCAGAAGGCACTGTAAATTTTTATTTTTATTTGCAATTTATATAGCCACACAATTTTCACAATTTTCCACCGATTGCGTTAACCACACAAGAAACGATTCCTTTCAATACCAGAAATGCAATCAAAAAGTAGACGAACCGCAGCCGATTTGACAACCGAAGCAGCTTCGCTTTTGCGCCTTTACAATTTCGCTTCGCAAGCAAATTCGTAGAAAGAGAGAATAGGCCAAATTATCGTTTTGTTTTGCTATGCCTTTTCTAGAGGGCTGCTGTGAAAATCATCGATGATGCTACGCTGTTGCTCAGTGGTAATGTTTTTAATATAAATTAAATTGAGATCCTTAATATTGATTTGTATTTATTTTATATCATCAATCATATATTTAAAAGGAATAGATAATTGCATCTTCTTGCAACCGTTCTAATCCTATTAGCTAACCTGATTGACCTAGATTTCGTGAGGATCGAGTAGGTATGTAAAAATATTTTTGTTATACAAAATATAATAGCAAACATTCTTCTAGCATAATGAGTTTTTCACCTAAAGTATTAGCCAACATAAAGCAAGCAAAAGATTCAGATGAAGATGAGCAGGAATTTCCACTACTGAAAGTATTGAAAACTTTTCCAGAAACTGCAAACGTAATTGACCCAATTGAAGAAATCCTTCCTAGGAGCGAAGATTTCAAGGAAGATGTTGAAATCGGCGTTGATCCTCTGTTCAGCAATATGGAGACATTTGACCCAAATAGCTTCGCCGGTGCTTATAAAGACACGGAAATCACAAAGACTGATGAGAGCGACGAGGACGAAGACAATGCAACAAATCGGCAAGGCAAAAGGACACGACTTCCGGAGGAGTTACTGGGACGCAACGGCTTTATGTGGAGCACAAGCAAAGCTTCAGCAATTGACAATTTCGACTCCGCATTACAACTTCTACAACCGAAAGGGAAGGGTCCAGCGCATACAATAAACAACATATTAGAAATGTGGAGTTTGCTTGTGGATGAGCAAATCGTTTCTCAAATAGTACACTATACCAATGTACACATTAAACTACGAAAAACAAAGTTGCCCCATCAGCGATTGATCGATGCCGTGGAACTCCGCGCCTGGTTAGGCCTAAATTATCTATGCGGAATTTTTCGTAATGCAACACATAATGGACCACTAGATGAATTATGGTCACTGGAGCTGGGCAATGCCATTTTTCGAGCCACTATGTCTCTCAAGAGATTCAAGTTTATTTCAGAAAGTTTACGTTTCGGCGATAATGTTAAGCCAGTCAAGAAACCAGAATCAGATGCTATATTAGATATATGGAGCAAGTTCTTAGTAAATTGTCGGTCGTATTATGCACCCAGTGGCAATTGTTCCGCGGCCGAAGTGGTAATGAATTTCACAAATGTAAAAGATGTGCCTCGATTACTGATGCTATGCGATGTCAAAACATTGTACATGTGTAATGCCGTTCTAAATTCTTCTGGAGAGTATAAAGACCGTGACGTATTGCGTCTTGCATCTGACATAAAAGGCAGTAAGCGTAATATCGTGCTCTCTTCGCAATTCACAAGCGCAGAACTAGCGAAGAAACTTTTGGAAAAGGAACTGTCTGCTCTCGGTAGTTTGCCACATACTGCTAAGGAAGTACCGCCAGAGTTCATTTCGAATAGTTGTTCAGTGCGGAAACTGTATTCCAACTCGATTAACTTAATATCTTGTCAACAAAATGTAGGCATTTTACTAACCTGCGGTATTCCGAACAAAATAAAAGTGGAACATTTGTATAGCTTAAGTTGCAACGCTTGTCGGAACTATCAAGAAATAGTTGGTATGTACTCCACCAGTCATGCCACCCAGCAAATTCACAATTGTTGGTCACTGACATTCTTTCAAAATATACTTGACTATGCCATTGTTAATGCCTGGATATTATTTGTACTATCGTCCAATGGTGATGGCAGTATGAAGCAACGAGACTTTCAGCGACACCTTGGGCTATATCTAACACAGCAACAACTCAAACGACAGCTTCAATCTAATCGTCTCACTTTGCCACAGAAG